TCTTATTAATATCTCCCATTTATTCCTACCCATTTCCTGTGTTCATGTCCATTTTTATACTTATACCTGTTATCTCGTACATGTTTGACAAACTAACTAACTAGCTAACTAAAATAAAATAAATAAAATGCTGGTGACTGGCTAGCAAACGAGCACAGTCCTACAGTATTTTCACCTACAGCAAGAATGTGTAAACAATAGGAGATATTAATAAGAACACGAAGTATTCTAAAATGAGCTGCAGTGGCACAGTGCTTAGAATGCAGTACTGCAGGCTGCTTCTGCTGATCACTGGCTGCCAACAGTTTGGCAGTTCAGGTCTCACTGGCTCCAGGTTGACTCAGCCTTCCATCCTTCTGAGGTTGGCAAAATGAGGACCCATATTGTTGAGGGCAATATGCTGAGTCTGTAAACTACTTAGAGAGGACTGTAAAGCACTGTAAAGTGGTATATAAGTGCAATTGCTAAAAGAAGCTGTATATCAAAACTGACAGGTAGTCTCTTTATCATTAATAAAGAATGGTACCTGCAAAATGGCCGCATTAAGGCTAGTTGGATCATCTATGCCTTATCTATCTTGCTAAAAAGCATTATGCAGAACTTTCCATTCATTTTTTCCATGAGCTTATCTGATAAAAAGCATGGCATATGGGAGACTATGACTGGGAATGTGAGAGGAGAGAAATAAGAATATATTGTTGTATCTATGAAAATAAGAGAAAAGAGGGACATAGTATATTTGGTCTCATCTACTTAAGTGGAGTTGCTGATTACTTTCAATGATAGATTTAATCATGAATGGAAGTGCTAATTATGAGTCAGAAGGTAGAATTTATATCAACTCAATTTTTGTGGGTGTGTATAAAATAAATATACATGCTTGATTATGCTAAGTGCATATCACACTAGTGAATAGTGATAAAAGAAAGATGAATCTTGGGAAATTGTGCAATATTCTGAATGAATGTGATTCATGGGAAATACTAGGAGAACATGAACAGGTGATGATAAATGAGAAGATAGTGCAGAAAAGGAATAAATTGTGATACTCCTTACTCTAGAAATACAGATTTTCAATACATGTTTGGAGAGTAATTGTTTATCTGTATAACAGCAAAAGAATGAGCATAACTTTAAAAAATAATTGATTTGATTGTTTATGATATAAGATAAGGATAACTGAAGACTATAAGGATAATAAGATATTTTGAATATAGAACAGACCAGTTTAAAGTGGTGTCAATACTGAATTTTGTAAAAAAAAATGGGAAAGGAAGAAAAAAAAATGAAAACCACAAGATTAAAACTAGAATGACTACATCAATGCCTGAAGATTGGAAGAATGCCATTATTGTTTCCTTATAAAAAATGTAAAGGTAGCAGGATTGAATGCTGAAAGCTACATAGTAGTGACAATACTTTGGCTGAAAGGTTTTGAGCTTAGATAAGGAGTAAGATCTGGCAAGAGTCCTACAGCATTATGCCAAGTAGAATATATACAGACCACATTCTTGCTGTTTAACAAGTCACTGAGAAATGTGTGTATTTCAGAAGGTTTCTGAGATGTTTATTGATTATGAATGAGGATCATATCACACAGGATATCTATTTAGGGAGAAGAAGGGGAAGATCAAAGTCATTGTAGGACGGACTTGATGAGAACCTCATCAAGTTGTATAGTTGTATTGCACATTTAAATATTGTTTATATACTGTTGTATTCTTGTATTGTTCATTTAAAATAAAAACCAATGTGATTGCAGAGATATGCAATAAAGTATATACTTTTATTGGAATGCACTATGGTGATCATTAGGCTTCTTGCATCTTCATATCATATCATAAGACATTTCTACAGATTACATACATTTGGTGATTTACATTGGAAACAGAAAGTTAAAAGAAATAATGCAATTACATTATGATCCTTTAGCTGGAATGTTTTGATAAACTAATAAAATAACTTTTGTATTGTATTGTATTGTATTGTATTGTATTGTATTGTATTGTATTGTATTGTATTGTATTGTATTGTATT